TAAGGGTTTCTTTGAGCACATTTTTTGGGAGAATAAATTTCTTACTAGTGATTTTTTGGGGAACGTTTGATTGAAAAGTAAGCAAAAATTTTGGGTTACATCTAATAATATTTTATTGAGATTATATGCAACTAAAATTGAGTTCGCGAAAAAATAAGCTTTTGAAAAATGGAATTCAAATAGAGGCTAAATTTGCTTTAAAAAAAAAACAATAATAATAAGGTTCACTCATAAAACTCGTCTATTCGAATCAGTTGGTTCACTAGTTGAAAATCGAACAGTTCACGCATACATAACTTGCCCAGTTCACCCTTTGAAATCATGCTTTTAGTTGTTCGATTTTCATATGATTTCTAGATTTTTGATCTAGAGTCCCTATCTGGTGAGAATTTTTTAATAGATTTTGATAAAATTTGATGAGATTTGTGATTAAAAAGTTATGAATATCATGAAATATATTGTTAAAATTAAGAATAATGATATTTAGAAGTGTTACAATTAAATGCATCACTTAATTGTATCTTTCATTGAGTTCATCAAATAATATCATCTAAACTGATGTTATAGTATTAGTTGTGTAGTATATAGTTATTAATAAATTAATTAAGCCCATTTTTTACAATAGCTTTCAAAACGAGTTTTGAATAGTGAATTTTAGGATATTGTATGGTTAAAAAGTTGAAAAAAAATTTTGAATTTATATACAGAATATTTTATTTTATGAATGTATAGTTAAAATGAATATGTAAAAAAAAAGTTTGAAAAGTATGACGTCAAACGGAGTTAAATAATTTTAATTTTTAGTGCTTGTTTAGTAAGGATTTTGATGATTGATTTTTTGATCGTTAAAGATAAAGTGAATTTTATTGTGAGAGAAGAATTAAAAAATAACAATTAAAATAACGAAATAACAGTAAAAAAATTAATTTTAATTGACTTAAAATTTATACCAAACAAACACAAACAAAATAAGGTATATTCTTTTTCAATGATACGGGCCAAAACCCACGGCGGCCGAAAAGAAAATTCAGACAAGCTGAAGTGGNTTTGGAAAGAATTTATAAACGATTTAATTTATAAGTAGATAAAAATCAGTAATAAATAAGTAAATAGTACATGTGGTTCATTGATATGTACGATTAAAAATAAAGTTTAACCATTTATAAACGACTTATAAAGTTTGTCAAATGATTGGTAAATTAGCCCTCGTTTGGCCTCCATTAATTTCAATTTCATTACATTTCATTTTTCTCTCTCCTATTTTCAACCACACAATCTTTTATAAAATAATATTACACGTAAATCAAAAAAATTTCATTATTTTTCAATCACTTATTTTTCAAAAAAATACTATTCCATCCATTTTCATTTTCCAAACAAGCCTATAGTATGAATTTACATCGATTAATAGGTATTCAAAATAATCAACTTTTTTGTCATATGAAACAAAAAGTATATGAAATGAAAACAAGAAAATTTATACGACAGTTTAGACTTTGCTTCTACCTTTTTGAATCAAATAAAAATGTGTCCCTACTAATTGAACAAATGTACGACCAATTGGTTCTGGTTGAGGTCAACCATATTCAATGATTGTGCATGGAATTAATCGTCTCGTACAAATCTTTTAACTTTGACAAATAGGACTACAGGTCTACTGTGTGTACAGAAAAGCGATGCAAGAATTGCTACAGAACACATTTGACTTCCTTTGGCTAGTGACGACAAAGAAAAAAAAGAACAAATAGATACTGCCACAGCAACATCTGGAGAAATTTCGACAGCAATTCCTCTGTATAAGGGGAATCGGTGATAGAAATATTGACTTGATAGTTAACAATTTATATCGTAGCTAAATTTGTGTCATGTTTATATATCAATTATTTTTCTATTTGACAAAGTAACATAATTTGAGTTATTTGACGAAATGGCTCGTTGGTGAAATGAAATACAAATTAACGACATATTCAGTAGTGATTATGAGAATTGATTTTTTGACTGTTAGAGAGAAAAGTGATTCCCATCTACGAGTAAAGAAGTAGAAAATGACGTTTGAAATTGTGAAATAATGATCAAAAATTGATTTTTTGGAGTGAAAAATTGCTACCAAATGGGGGGCTAAAATTATTGCACCAGTAATTAATTACATAATTAAAATATAAGTTAAGTGATTTCTAAATGCCTGTTTGGTATAGATTAAACTCTGATTTTAATTTATCTCAAAATCAAACAATCAATATTAATCATATTTTTCATGGATCCTACAACTTTTCAACCACACATTTCAAAAACGTCTATCACAATTTACTAAAAAATCTAATTTTAATTTCCACCAAACATCCTCCAAAAAAAAAAAAAAAAGGTATATACATCTGATTTGGTAAAAATATTAGTAATGATGATTTTGTCACTTTCTTGAATAGTAGATTCTTGCTCTCCAAGGATGTGACTTTTTCAGCAGACTCCGGTCAAGCCAACCGCACGATCAATAGAAGAACATGTTTGAAACGGCACACTCCAAATAACGTGGATAAATTTTAGCGTTAACAATTCTTCAAGCACGTGAGAAAATCAATTAATGCTACCGGCCACCCTCGAAAAATGGTGGCGCCACCACTACCACCCCACCTTTGGCTGGATCGCCGATCTTCAAGCACGACCACCGCTTCAACTTTTACTGGTGGCAAAATATTCTTCATCATTGCTCACCATTTTTTTACTTTATCTCGAACTAAAAATGTGTATTAGCCTGTCCCAGCCCTTATTTGAATAACAGGGCCCCTTGAACTAAAAGTAACTAAGTATAGGGACTGACATTGGTTAATTGGGGGCACAGCCCGAAATTGAAGTCAACTTGATCGGGTTGGGTCGGGTTGAAGTCTGGTATTGGTTCGATTACAAAGTAATAATTGGACGTAAGGGTTTCTTTGAGCACATTTTTTGGGAGAATAAATTTCTTACTAGTGATTTTTTGGGGAACGTTTGATTGAAAAGTAAGCAAAAATTTTGGGTTACATCTAATAATATTTTATTGAGATTATATGCAACTAAAATTGAGTTCGCGAAAAAATAAGCTTTTGAAAAATGGAATTCAAATAGAGGCTAAATTTGCTTTAAAAAAAAAACAATAATAATAAGGTTCACTCATAAAACTCGTCTATTCGAATCAGTTGGTTCACTAGTTGAAAATCGAACAGTTCACGCATACATAACTTGCCCAGTTCACCCTTTGAAATCATGCTTTTAGTTGTTCGATTTTCATATGATTTCTAGATTTTTGATCTAGAGTCCCTATCTGGTGAGAATTTTTTAATAGATTTTGATAAAATTTGATGAGATTTGTGATTAAAAAGTTATGAATATCATGAAATATATTGTTAAAATTAAGAATAATGATATTTAGAAGTGTTACAATTAAATGCATCACTTAATTGTATCTTTCATTGAGTTCATCAAATAATATCATCTAAACTGATGTTATAGTATTAGTTGTGTAGTATATAGTTATTAATAAATTAATTAAGCCCATTTTTTACAATAGCTTTCAAAACGAGTTTTGAATAGTGAATTTTAGGATATTGTATGGTTAAAAAGTTGAAAAAAAATTTTGAATTTATATACAGAATATTTTATTTTATGAATGTATAGTTAAAATGAATATGTAAAAAAAAAGTTTGAAAAGTATGACGTCAAACGGAGTTAAATAATTTTAATTTTTAGTGCTTGTTTAGTAAGGATTTTGATGATTGATTTTTTGATCGTTAAAAATAAAGTGAATTTTATTGTGAGAGAAGAATTAAAAAATAACAATTAAAATAACGAAATAACAGTAAAAAAATTAATTTTAATTGACTTAAAATTTATACCAAACAAACACTAACAAAATAAGGTATATTCTTTTTCAATGATACGGGCCAAAACCCACGGCGGCCGAAAAGAAAATTCAGACAAGCTGAAGTGGTACCTTCTAAAGTTTATGGAAACCGATAAGATAGTCAAAAGTCAAAAGCCAAAAGGCCAAAGTAAATAATTTTCTTTCATCAAACAGCAAATGACAATCCACAACTGATATGCATCAGCAGAAAAGTCGGAGAGATATAGAGAGAGAATACTCTGCTTCGCAGAAGCTTCATAATTTTGTAAAAAATTTTTTTTTTTTTTTTTTTTTTTTTGGCTCTGTCGTTTTTCTTTTATTTTTTATCATATTGGTTTGATTTCGTACTTGTTTAGCAAGGCAGAATAAAAATAATTATTTTTTGGGTATGGATTTTTCATTCCTTTGATGTTTGTTTTCGTATTTGTTTAGGGTTTCTCTTCTCTTTCTTGTTAAAGAAAATTCAGTGTGCTGATTACTTTTTCTTTTGGACTTTTCTTTTCCCTGGAAATATTAGGATATTTGTTCTTGTGTATTTTGCTTCTGTTCTTTTCCTGGGTTTGGTTGGTTTATTTATGTTCTTGATGTTTTTAATTTTACTGTTGATGTTTGAATTGAATAGGAATTATACGATTGTTTAATTTTGACTATGGTTTATGTTCTAGAATTGCACAATAATTATATATTCCCTTTGACCTTCTTTTTTCTAAGTCTGCTTAATGATACTGTTAGGGTTTTTAGCTTATTTTGCTGTTCCTTTAATTCGAAACTATAAATCAGAGTTAGGCGAGAAATATATACACGAAGGTTTTTTTCGTGGGAAGAGGAGGGAGAAGGGGACATTATCTTATGAGGATTTGTTGGAAAAATTGATCATTTCAGGGTGAAAATAATTTTCTAAAACCTTTGGGGACACTGGTTTGTGGCGGGCCGACGGGCTATTCCAATCATCTTCCATGCCCTGTGAATTTTTTATTTTCTATTTACTTTGGAGTTGAAGATATAATGCCCTTTGAGCATTAGTTTGATCCGTGTAGGATTTTCGAAAATCAGTTATTTTAATTGAAATTATGCCCCTTAAGGTCTATCATTATTTATGGTATTATACCAGGTCTAGGGATAATTTGATTCCATCTTAGTCATGCATTTAGTTAAGATTTTTTGGTCCGACGTTTTCTTATTTCATTTGATGCAGGGTTTTGACGCGGTGATAGTTATGGATCCCGGATTCAGTGAAATGCACAATATGATAAATGGATTCGGCTCTGATGATGAGACTCTCTTACACGGTTTTGAGCAATCTCATGGCCAAGTTAATGGATATAAATATGATGTTTCTCTAGACCCTAATATTGCAGATATCCCTTTCCTTACGTTCAGCCAGGGCCTTGAAAATTTCACTCCATCTTTTAGCGGGAGCTATGAGGTGGAATCCCCGGATGATCAAGATTCTGATCCAGTGCTAAAGTACCTAAATCAGATACTTATTGAAGAAAACATGGATGATAAGCCAAGCATGTTCCATGATCCGCTCGCTTTACAAGCTGCTGAGAAATCCTTATATGAAGTCCTTGGCCAGAAGTACCCACCTTCACCACATCAAAAATCTGATTACTTTAACTGCAGTACGGAAAGCCGAGATACCTTTTTCGGGAGTTCCAGTGAGAACACTAACAGCAGTACTAACGGCACTAATTCCATTGATCCACAATGGATTGTTGATCCAGGTGAATTTCATTCATCGGTGGAACAGAGTCAGTTGCTGGATACTGCTTCCAAATCTGCTACAAAAACTAGTTCACAGTTGTCGTTTGGTTCTGTGAACAGCTTCAACGATAATATCAATATCCAGATGAGCTCTTTTGAAAATACCAGCCTAATTCCAAATATATTCAGCGATAGTGAATCTATCTTGCAGTTCAAGAGAGGGATGGAAGAAGCTAGTAAATTCCTTCCCCCAAGTAATCAGTTGATTATCGACTTGGATAAATACACACTGCCTCCAAAATCAGATGAAACGACTCATACGGTCACAGTGAAGGTAGAAAAGGATGAGATAGATCACTTAACTAATGGCTCGAGGGGAAGGAAGCATCACCATCCAGAGGATGGCGATTCAGAAAATGTAGAGAGGAGCAGCAAGCAATCGGCAGTTCATGTAGAAGATGTGGAATTACCCGAAATGTTTGACAAAGTCCTTCTTTTCGCTGATGTCAAATGTGAGCCCATGCATTGTAATGTGGACACTAAATTGCCCGGTGGAGAGGAAAAGAACTTGTTGCAAACTGTACTACCTAATGGGTCAAATGGAGGTCGAACTCGGGCTAAGAAGCATGAGAATAATAGTGAAGTTGTGGACCTTAGGACACTTTTGATCAGCTGTGCACAATCTGTTGCTGCTGATGATCGTAGAGCGGAATCTGTACAATTACAGCAGATTAGGCAGCATGCTTCTCCCACCGGTGATGCATATCAGAGGTTGGCATATGTATTTGCCTATGGTCTTGAGGCACGCTTTTCGGGCACTGGGACCCAGATTTATGCATCCCTTGCATCCAAGAATATTACAGCTGTTGAGAAGTTGAAAGCTTACCAGGTTTATCTTTCGGCCTGCCCGTTCAAGCAAATATCAATTATCTTTGCAAACAAGATGATTATGAAAGCAGCATCAGAAGCAACAACACTGCATATTGTAGATTTTGGTATTCTTTATGGTTTCCAGTGGCCTAGTCTCATTCAGCATCTTTCAAGGAGACCTGGTGGGCCCCCCAAGCTTCGGATTACTGGAATCGAGTTTCCACAACCTGGCTTTCGCCCAGCTGAAAGAGTAGAAGAGACTGGGTGCCGTTTGGCGAAATACTGTGAACGATTTGGTGTACCATTTGAGTATCAAGCCATAGCAACACAGAACTGGGAGACCATCAAAATTGAGGACCTGAAGATTGCACATGGTGAGGTGCTTGCTGTGAACTGTCTGTATCGATTTGGTAGGTTGCTTGACGAGACTGTTGAAGTTGACTGTCCCAGGGATGCAGTTCTGAACTTAATTAGGAAAATGAATCCGAATATATTTGTGCATGCTGTTGGCAGTGGATCATATAGTGCTCCATTCTTCATTACACGTTTCAGGGAGGCTCTCTTCTACTACTCAGCATTGTTTGATATGTTGGATACTACGCTACCTCGTGATGATCCGCACAGGATGAATTTTGAACAGGAATTTTATGGGCGCGAGATAATAAATGTTATTGCTTGCGAGGGGGCAGGAAGGGTTGAGAGACCTGAGACACACAAGCAGTGGCAAATCCGCACTATGAGGGCTGGATTCAAACCCCTTCCTTTGAATCACGAGTTTATGAGGAAATTAAGGAATAAAGTGAAGGCAGGGTATCATAAAGATTTTCTGTTCGATGAAGATGGTAATTGGATGTTGCAGGGATGGAAGGGCAGGATTATTTATGGTAGCTCATGCTGGGTTCCTGCATAGGAAGGCTGTATTCTATTTTGAACTAAAAGGGGGACAAACGTAATTCCTTAGCAAGACTAGAGGTGATTTTTTTTTATTATTTTTTTTTTCCCAAAAGAAAATCTCAAACTAGCCTCTCTACATCATGTGCGTAAACACCAGCACACACACGCAAGCACAAGAATGCACACGGGCAGCAAAAACCCATATACAGTTCTTTATACACATGTATAATGATAAATCTGTTTTTCTGTTTGTTTGGCAATCCATATGTAACATCTTCCTGCTGTGGTATCATGTTATTCCTTACAGTAGCTATACTTATTAAGCCTTAATGATGCAAAATTTAAGTGTGTTATTGGAGAATAGAGTTTGATTTCGATTAAGGTTGTTTAGTTTGGACTAGATTATATTTGATATTTTTTGTAAGGCCATGGTTAACTAGAAGTTCCCTCGAGTTTAAATTATTTGATCTGTGAAAGGCAAGCTAGGTGGTTATTGAGATTAAATGACTGAATCCATTGTTCTCTCTTTCAGATGATCTAATGATTCACCAGCATTCTTTCAGAGGATACTTGTGGATTAGACAGATTCGTGAGATTCACTAATGTAACCAGATCTTGAGGTTTTACTCTCAAAACCATGTTCATATGGTATGGATTATGGCCCCGAATTTACTCTGCAGAGCAGGAATTTTAATATATTTCAAATTTCTCTCGTTCAAGATGGCGCAAAGTTACTATTAATACCAGCAGCATTACTTGATTAGTTTGCTTGACTATGAATGTGTTACTATATGGCATGGTGGGTTCCTTTTCTTGTATAATTATTGTCAGATTGTAGTTTTAAGTGGACTATATACATAATAGCGTGACTTTATAAGCCATCTTTGTAGTGTTCCCTGTTTCTGGTATGGTTTAAATTTCTGTATGTGCTCGACTGTTATAGCCTTATAGTACATTAACATACTTCTTAAGAGCATGTTTGGTTGGACTTATAAGTTGTTTTTCTAGAAGTTCTGTTAGTCAACTTTGAAAATCTTGTTTGCAAAATAAGTGAGTTAATTTGACTCGCTGTTAAGCACAACTAAACATGCTATGAAGTTTTGTTTCTGATAAGTTTGGAGCTGGTTACTCGAATCTTTTGTCATCGGTAGGTTCTCTTCATTAGTAGATTTACTGAGAGACATATGGAGACACTAATGGTAATTAGTTGCTTTCAGTTGTTTGAGCATTGGAAAAATGCTATGACTTTCTGTTGTGCAATAATGTGTTATATGCAACTGCGTACCAAACACGTCTCTTTCTGTTTATAGTCTCGTTTTACTTTAATTGTAATTGTACAATGCAGTTTTGGCTTGTTCGATTTTCATTTTCGAGTATTTACATATTTGAGATCACTTTTCTCCATATCAGTGGACAAATAAGAGGTTTCAGTGTCTATTTGGAACAACTCATATGGGATCAATTATGTTCAATTGTCTCAAAAGATGTTTAATTTTTTGAAAATATGGCAATTTAAGATAGGAAGTTAAAAATTTCCCGACTATACAAAAGAATGGAGTGGATAAGAAGTATTACAAAAATTAAAATACTCGTTCACATTTGAACTCGCTTTTCATAAAAACTCATCTCTTTTTATTTTCTTTGAAGATGGAAATCTTTAGGCTACGTTTGGTTTGGCGTTTTCAGGCAGTTTTTAGTTTTTGAAAATACGGAAAACACATTTGGTCCGTCATTTTCGAAAACGAGGTAAAATTTACAACTGAAAATGCAAAACGATTTTTTATCGTTTTGAGCGTTTTTAGTTATAAATGCACAAAATGCGTCGTTTTCGGGGAAAATTAAAAACTATTTTGAAACTAAAAATGGAAAACTGAAAACTAAACTGCAACCTTAATTTTTATACTCATTTTTAATTACAGATTTATGCAATAAAATATTTTACGGATAAATTTTAAAAAAAAAATTCATACCTTTTAATCACACATTCTATAAAAAAAATCATTATTTAAAACATCATTTTTGAAAAAATAATAATCATCAAACGGGGCTCAATTTGAGTAAATATCTTTCATTTTAAGGGATTTTATGTCGACTTGTTTGAACTTAAGCCCCTGTTTGATCCCCATTAAATTAAATTACATTACATTATATTTCTCTCTCTCCTATTTTCAACCACACAATCTTCCATAAAATAATATTAAACGTAAATCAAAAACTTTTTCTTCTTTTTCAACCACTCATTTTCTAAAAAATATTATTCCCTCTATTTTCATTTTCAGGTAATGGGGGTCAAACAAGGGCTAAATTGGGGATCTAGTTTTACTCCCTATTCTAGTTTAATGATTTGACGGTTAAATGTGACGGCAAAAATATTTATTTATAACCATTCGAACTTGATCGAGTTAGCCAACTTAGTTTTATTCCAATTAAAATTGACTTGGTTTTGAGTTTTAGAATCAAGAAATCAGTACTCAATGGCTGCTATACAACCAAATTCTAACATGGTGTCAGGATTATTTTTTATTTTCTTTAAATAAAATATACTTTACATGAATTTACATTAATTATTATGTATTTAAAATAGTCAATAGTCTTTTTTCTTGAAGTGGAAAGGGTGGAAATAAAACAAAAAATTTACATAGCAATCAAACTTGATCGAACTAGAGTTGATCGATTCTGTTACTTAAAAATGGTATATAAGAAATTACATAAAATGATGTGAAGTGAAAAGATTAGATGAAAAGGTTAAATTTCGCTTAAACTGACAAATGATAGAGTGACATGTGACATTATAGAATCAATTATGTAAGGTTTGATGTACATGTAGCAAGGTCATTTTCATAATTTTTAAAAGGAATTGTTTTGATCCGGTTTTCAAAAACATAGACCGAATCACTCGTTGTCCCAATTTTCAAGGTGTAACTCATACATTGTAGGAAGTTTATGAACCGATTTATAAGTTGTCCCAATTTTCAAGGTGACAAGCGTGCACACCAAAGTGCGTATGGCACGTTTCTGCATAACCTTGGAGTAATTCGTTTGAGCCCTGCGTGATTATGGAAATACCATGCATACGCACAGGGTACTTTTCAGGCATGCGCGAAACTTTCCTTCTATGATTGAAATTCCTTTTGGAAACTAATTTTGTATGATTCTTTAACTAATTTCAACAAATATAAATACCGAACGTGAGCATAACCTCTCAACATCTCTCATATCTCATAATTCATCAAATATTACAATCAAAAGAGAGAGAAATCATCATTCTTTTTGGAAAAATCACGAGATAAGGTACAAGAATTCATTCAATTAGAGATTCAATCTTAATCGTTGGGCAAAGAAGAGGAATGTGCAGTTAGAGACAATCAAGAAACCATTAAAGAGATTTAAGAACTTCAAGATTCTCGTATTTTTCTTCATTCAACTAAAAAAAGAGGCGATGTTCTACAAAACAACTATGAATTATTGTAATTTTGTAATGTTAAGCTAAGATCTTTAGTTGCTCAGACATAGAAGAACTTTATTAAGATTTTTTAATATAATTTCAATGTTTTGACACTTAATACGCCTTGGATTATTGTTATAGAATTTGATTTTTTTCAATTTCTTGATCATTAATTGGATTGATATGTGAATTTTACTGTTATCAAAAGAGACAATAAGATAGATAGCATGTTATAATAACAATTGTGAGGTCCAATAAAGAATAGAGATATACTTCTATGTCTTGCACGATTTCAACATAATCTAACAAAAACTCTCCTCATTTGCTCATTAGAATAATTAGTTTAATTTGATGAATTAATATAGAATTGATAATCAATACTTGACTATTCAATTAAAGTTAATATTAATTGACATTAGATTAAATACATAGTCTCCATTAGATGATATCTTATTCATTGTTTTATTATTTGTCATTTGCGATATTTTGTATGATTAATATTAATTCTCATGTTTATTCTCTCAAGAAAACATCTATATATAGATGGAAACACCTCTTGCACGAATGGACACAATGAATGCAGGAAAGACACAATTTTTCGTAGAAATTGAACCATCTCGTAACCTAACGACTATGTGTTCGTGCTGATTAACAGGGCAGCGTACCAATGCAGTGGACACTGCTGCCCAGACAGCATAATCGAGCTGCTTTAGGTAGCATTCCAGTCCCATTTTCCTTTCAGGAATTTACCACCATAATACTTCGGCGCCCTGCCTTTCAAAAGGAGATTCGATAGATCTTTGTATATAGTATGGAGCCATCATCGAGCATGGTATAGCACGTGAAGTTAGGTTTAGGCTGTATAGAGAAGAATTTAAAAACGCCCCTACTCCTGTTATAATTTAAACAAATTACAAACATATTATTCATTATTTCCCATTGCAGTCTAGTCCAATAATTCTGCAGTGGAGGCAGCCATTACTTAAATCCAATTTCAAGAATCTCTATCATTCCCAAATATCCAACACAACACTGCACGGATATAATGATATTATTTATTATTTCTCCTTCTTATCTGTATGTTTTGTTGAATATAAGTTTAAAAACATTCAAATTGCAAATTCAAATTTCAGTTTTCTTGTAAATTAAATTTCAGTTTTTTATTTTAATTTTTAGATTCAATACAAATTTTTTTATCTCATTATTATATTTACAACTTATTTAATTTGATTAATTTCCATTATGAGGGAGTTCGACTTTTCTTCTATAAAAGGGAGTGAAATTTTCATTGTTTGACAAACAAAAACAAACACTTGAAAAACACTCTCTAATCATTACATTATTATTTTCTTTTATAATTTTGGCAATTGATAATGACTTGTTTTTCTATCTGTGTGGTTGTACCCATAGAAGCAGATTTTGCATTCTGTACAATGCCGAAAGTACTCGTACAAAGGAGAAACCACACGTCTTCAGGATAGTGTTTATCGCGACTTTCTTAGGCCAACTTTTCTAACTCTATTTTCATATTTATGTTATTTGGTTCATATTTAAAGTTGATATATTATTACGCAAATCATATAATTTTCACAACAATCAAAAGTCATCTGTGATTTGTGTAATAATAATTCATGATTGGCACAATATTTTAGAACTTTTGTTAATCTCCTTTATAAACTTACTGCATAAATTTTGCATTCTTTGGGAGCTTATATAAATTTATTTTCTCATTAAATATTACACTCTTCAAATTTGCCTTTCACTATTCTAATTTTAAGAAAGTATTTCCACTTTGATAATTTATCGGAAAGTTTTGAAATACATTATTATATACTTGCTTGCTAAGTTTACTTGAATCTTAATTTTGCATCACTAAATATGGAATTTCTAACTGCATTCACTAGATAACATCCCAAATATTTTAAATTCTAGAACAAGTTCCAATTCTAGAAATGTTATTAACAATATTCATTTTATTGTCTAAAAAGTGCATTGTTAATATAATATTAATTGTAGTTATTGCATTTGAAACTTCAATATCCATTTAATCTCTTATATCATTACTTGGAATCTTTTATTGTTTGAGAATTAATACAGCCAAATTTTTAAATATTTGACTTAATTGAAAATTTTATTGTTGGTGTTATATAATTCATAGTGAAAGAGTGACAAAATATGGAATTGATGATGTTGGTGTTAGTAATTCATAGTGAAAGAATGACATCTCATGAAGATATTAATAGTGTTAAACTTGCAAATTTTGATGGAAAATCCTTCAAAAGATGGAAAAAAAAAATATTGGTTGATCGTTCTAAAGTTAATTTCTGCTATAAAAGAAAATAATGAAGGTAGAGAGTCTACCTCATAGTATAACCTAGAACAAACTGAATTCCATTGTCATAATCAAATTCTAAGTGCTCTTTCTAATAGATTTTATGATATTTATCAAAATAACAAGAGTGCTAAAGAACTTTGGAAAACTTTAGCGGCAGAATATGGAATCGATGATATTGGGGTCTATAGATTTAATGCGTCAACCTTTAACAAATATGTGATCGTGGATGGAAAATTTAT